TGGAAAGAATCTTATATATATATATATTACCTATAAATTATTTTATCTCTCATTTAAACGGAATTATTTTGAACTGTTTCACTTTTTTTTAATTATATTCGCTGCGACATTTGAAACCATAACTTTCCCCATCGGTCAGTAATTTCCTCAGAATGAGCATGAGTAAGGGATGATTTAGTAACAGTTTTCACCAAGGAAATGTTGAATCTTGCTTGAAATGTCTCCATTTCGAGCGATATAAGTAAAATAGATTAATTTCTAAAAAAGAAAGTCTCTATTTCAATTTTTTCTTTAGACGCAGTTGAATTATCTATTTATTTATGGTAAATTTAATTGCACAAATATTAACACTAGATTGCCCAAGGAAGTAATTTTGGCAGATTTTGATGTCATTTTGATTTCTTTTTAATTTCAATTTGAAGAAAAATTATGCATATAATGACACAATTTCTTAGAATTTTGTGACTTTTTGTTCAACATTTAATTTTTTTTATTGTTAATATTTACTAATAACTTGTTCAGTACATACTATTAAAAATATCAAAAATTAATTTGAAACGAATTTTGTTAGACATTAATTATTCTTTCACAATCCAGTTATTTTGACTGCTTTTGGGCAACATAGATTATATACAAAGTTTTAGCCTTTCTAGTGTTAAATAAAGCATTTCAATCTCAAAAGGGACTGTATTCCTTTATTTATAAAACAGGAGGGGGCTAAAGCCCATCCTGCCGCCCCACCCCCCATGGTCCTGCGGTCACTGTTCCACGGAGCACTTTTTGAGAACCACTGTACTCGAAACTTCGAATGATTTTTGGTGCAGAACGAAGAACCAAGAGTTATCACTATTTAATGTAAGTAATGGTGTGAACATAACACTAAAATTTCTTACAAGCATGTATGTGTACTCACCCATCCTTCGAATTTCAAAGCACAAGTCGTTACAACTTCTCTGTGGTCGTCAATTTGTTTCTGAAAGAAAAGAAGATCTTTTTGTTTAAATTATGCTATTTTCATTATTTTTGTCCAAAACTAGGAATCAAATACAAGCCTTTATTTCCGAAAACATTTCTACATCAAAACTAATATTTAAGATTCCAGAATTATTTAATTTCTTTTTAAAGCGTCCCTGTTTTTTTATTTCTTTTTTTTTCATGATTACAATTGTCATGCTAGCGATTTTCACACTATTCGATTCATTATTTTTCTAGTCCGAAAAACCAGTTTACATCCTTTCACATGTGAAAGTGAGTGAATGTCTACATCTTCTGGCGATCGTAGGTGAATGTTCGAACTTGTATAGTAAAAATCATTTCTTATTTACGCCAAGAAAATGTCGATATTTGGAATACAAAGTAGCATTTACATTTATTTAGCATGTATACCTGGTGCAGGATTGTAGGGTGGAAAATATTGTAAACAAACTTGATTTATTCATTCCTGGATGTCAACTTTTACCGGTGTAGGAACCAAATTATGACATGAATGACACATTTTCGGACATTCGCAAGTGTAACTGCATAAATGTAATCATTCGCAGGAGGAATTACTGAAATTTGGAATGACACGGTAACATAAACATCGAATCGTGTTTCCCACCAAGCGATGTGAGACTCTAATTCAAAATAATAAAATAATCCATTCGGTGGAGTAGTTTTGGGGAGTATTTAGGGGACATAACACTCTCCGAAATTATACATTACTTCATTAATGAGCTATTCAGTTCTCATTATTCATTTTTTTTACTCATTTAAACATTTAGATTAAACTTTTACCGCCGTTGAGAAAAGAAAAAACTTCTTAGTAGTAGCAACATTATAGCAGTTTGTCGTATTAAATCTTCAATTGAAAGTTTCAATCTATTTGTTAGTTTACTTAGCTTTTCAAGGTTTCATTCATTTAATCAATTAAAAATCTTTCCAACTTTACTTGTTCATTTTACTACCATTTCGTAAATGAACAAGTAAAGTTGGAAAGAATCTTTATTGATTTATATATATATATATATATAAATACGTCACAGAAATTCTCATTCATTGTCTTTAAAAAAAAGTTTTATAAAAAGCAAATTATTGGAATCCGCTGATGAACTTTTTGAAACGATTCACTCTAATGAACCCTAAAAGAATACTTACGGGATCATTGACAGTTTCCAGGGGTGGGGGAGGATTCTGATCCAAGCATCTCTCAATCACAATTCGTTTCTGTTCCTGTTCAATAGAAAAAGAGAAGAAACTTTTACTTTTTAAAAATATTTTGTGGCAATAGTGAACATTATCCAAAGATACACTAAACTGTTCCTTGGTATTATTTCTTGGCAGGAAGTTGTCAAAATTGCCGTAAACCATAAATTCTCTCCTGTGCAATGTGACAACCTGGGTGTAATATTTTCATCATTAGATAAAAAGTTAGAAATGTTTCAGCGTAAATTAACGGTGCCCAATTAATTGTATACCTTTGTAAACCTCCTAAGAATATTTCTCCTTCTTTTTGATAAGTTAGAAATATAACTCAGGAAGCATCTCATTTTAATATAAATAGAAACTGAAAAAAAATATTATTTGTATGTGTTATATCACACTATAAGTGTTATTATTGGAATATGGAAAATCTTGAGATTTCCATAGAAGCCTTGTTTGTTTGATATTTAATGTCTAGTCAACGACTCTATCCAAGTACAAATAATATTCCGTTTCATTTCAGTTCTTAATAATATAGTAATGTGTAAGGCCCGGATTTTGATGACATTTGCATTTTTATGCATTTTTGGACATTTTTTGTCTTTTAGAGCATTTTTTTAGATTTATAGGGCATTTTTTTAGATTTATAGGGCATTTTTCTTTAAATTTTAAAGTTTTTTTGTTAATTTTTTCCAATTTTTACTATTTTTTTAGCAATTTTCATTATTACACTGGCTTCCAAACAATGAAGAAAATCTATAGAATATTAACAGGTGAAGCAAAATCTTTTCAAATTGAAGAAGAATTGTCAGTAAGTGAGATCGTCTTTTTCAAGTACGCACCTATAACATCAGTAGACGTTGAAAGAAGCTTCTGCAGGAATGAAAATTTACTTTCAGACAAGAGACGCTCGTTTACATTTCAAATTATCAAAAAACATTTAATAATCCAANACACATGACTTCATGACTTTTTCTAACAATTATATACAGTTAATATTCTATTTCATCTTATCGTTTTTGCACACATGACTTCATGACTTTTTCTAACAATTATATACAGTTAATATTCTATTTCATCTTATCGTTTTTGCACACATGACTTCATGACTTTTTCTAACAATTATATACAGTTAATATTCTATTTCATCTTATCGTTTTTGCACACATGACTTCATGACTTTTTCTAACAATTATATACAGTTAATATTCTATTTCATCTTATCGTTTTTGCACACATGACTTCATGACTTTTTCTAACAATTATATACAGTTAATATTCTATTTCATCTTATCGTTTTTGCACACATGACTTCATGACTTTTTCTAACAATTATATACAGTTAATATTCTATTTCATCTTATCGTTTTTGCACACATGACTTCATGACTTTTTCTAACAATTATATACAGTTAATATTCTATTTCATCTTATCGTTTTTGCACACATGACTTCATGACTTTTTCTAACAATTATATACAGTTAATATTCTATTTCATCTTATCGTTTTTGCACACATGACTTCATGACTTTTTCTAACAATTATATACAGTTAATATTCTATTTCATCTTATCGTTTTTGCACACATGACTTCATGACTTTTTCTAACAATTATATACAGTTAATATTCTATTTCATCTTATCGTTTTTGCACACATGACTTCATGACTTTTTCTAACAATTATATACAGTTAATATTCTATTTCATCTTATCGTTTTTGCACACATGACTTCATGACTTTTTCTAACAATTATATACAGTTAATATTCTATTTCATCTTATCGTTTTTGCACACATGACTTCATGACTTTTTCTAACAATTATATACAGTTAATATTCTATTTCATCTTATCGTTTTTGCACACATGACTTCATGACTTTTTCTAACAATTATATACAGTTAATATTCTATTTCATCTTATCGTTTTTGCACACATGACTTCATGACTTTTTCTAACAATTATATACAGTTAATATTCTATTTCATCTTATCGTTTTTGCACACATGACTTCATGACTTTTTCTAACAATTATATACAGTTAATATTCTATTTCATCTTATCGTTTTTGCACACATGACTTCATGACTTTTTCTAACAATTATATACAGTTAATATTCTATTTCATCTTATCGTTTTTGCACACATGACTTCATGACTTTTTCTAACAATTATATACAGTTAATATTCTATTTCATCTTATCGTTTTTGCACACATGACTTCATGACTTTTTCTAACAATTATATACAGTTAATATTCTATTTCATCTTATCGTTTTTGCACACATGACTTCATGACTTTTTCTAACAATTATATACAGTTAATATTCTATTTCATCTTATCGTTTTTGCACACATGACTTCATGACTTTTTCTAACAATTATATACAGTTAATATTCTATTTCATCTTATCGTTTTTGCACACATGACTTCATGACTTTTTCTAACAATTATATACAGTTAATATTCTATTTCATCTTATCGTTTTTGCACACATGACTTCATGACTTTTTCTAACAATTATATACAGTTAATATTCTATTTCATCTTATCGTTTTTGCACACATGACTTCATGAATTTTTCTAACAATTATATACAGTTAATATTCTATTTCTTTTTATTTTATATATATATATATATTGTTTGTTTCAAATAATACTTGTCATATACCTATTTCTACCACACCGGTCATTTGACCGGGAGAACAATTTATTGCTTTATGAAGTTATCGGATCAGAAATGAGGATGTCATGCGTGTTCAACGCATTGCAATCGATGAGTTGCACATTTCTGCAAAGACTGCTGTGTAGTTGGTTCAATCAGAGTAACTGTGAATTCAAATTTCAAGAAAGCACCTAACATTTTAGATTGGCATTTTTGTGTCAGAAAAAGTGACAAAAGCGAAATGTTTTGGTAAGTAGCTTATATTTCAGTTTGATAGCTTTACTTCATTTCTAACTAACTGTTAGTTTTTACCCAGAAAAATGTCGAAGCAATCAAGACAGCGCAAGTTCTTAGAAGAAATAATATTAATTATAAGAATAAGTATAAGAATTATGACTCTTTATAAGAATTATATATTCTTATAATTATAAGAATGATTATAAAAAGTATAGAAATAATAATAATTAGAAGAAATATGTTTCCGGAAAATGCACAATGGAAACATCGAACAATGAATTAAAAATTCTCATTCTTTGTGTTTGTAATACATGAAAATTGGCAATATACAATTTTGTTTAATTACAATAAAGTTTTTTTTAAGTTTATTTTCTTCCTAACATCCATATTTCATACATTCAATGAAGAAAGATGAAGTCCAGTCATGGTAGAAATAGGAATATATTAAGTGTTGGTGTGTATAGTATTAAATCAATTCCTGCTGACAGATCTACAATTTTTAAAAAATCACATCTTAACAGTAACCCTTTCCTTTTTAAAAGAGGAAAGTGGCAGGCAATTCTCATAAACAATAAAAAACAAAATTTTTTGTTAACCTAAATAATTATCAAGATCAAAGTGATTTCACTTCTGTTCTGCAAGGTTAGGCCTCCAGGGGAAGAAGAAGAAATCATAAACCGAAAATGATGTCGTCTGGATGTTAGGTCACTAGGCCATATCTATCTGTTGCAGAATATAACACTGAATGTTCCCATTCTGGGGCTCGTGCACTGAACCCGGAAAATCCCTATTATCAAGGTCGGCCCCTGGCATACTCTTTCACAACACTATCGTCTGATAAAAATTCGAAAGAAAGGAAAATTTGAACAGTCATTGCCTCAGGGCAACTGATCCACATATCTTCATTATTAATGGAGGAACCCTAAATGCTTTTGGAGGAAAAAGTTTATTCCACAGTATAATTATTCCGAATATATTTTATGCAAAAGAATGGACAATTTTTTTTTCTCCATTGTTTTATCAATCGTTGTCTAAGAATTAGTTTATTATATGTGAGGCCGCCGAAGTCAGGAGAGTGTTCCTACTCTGGTTTTGAAACTTTTTTGAACAAAATAGGCTGACTTAAGAGTTTTCGGGAGAAAAAAAAACTGTTAAAAGCGTTGAGAATGTTTATCAGAGAAACGTAATTTTTTATTCTTCAATTTGGTTAATTTATAAAAACAATGAAAATATTAAGTTATGAATTATTGATTGGATTTAAATATGATTACAAGTTTCAAAACTAATTACTGGTTTTAAAAAAAAAGTCTTAATTCTTGTAGAAACCCTTTTGTGGAACCTAGAGATCCCCCGCACTACGTTTTGGAGACAGGTGCTTTTTTTTTTAGTTTCAGCTAAAAACACTGCGCAAAATTCACTAAATGCAAAACGATAGTTAGCATATTACGTAAGCAATGCTCTCGCAAAACAATAAAAACTCCTTGTTTTCAAATTTTTCTTAAAAAGTAATGTAAAAAAAATTACACGTGGGAAAATTTGGAATAAAAGTCGAAAGAATTGGAAGGAAAATGTCTTCGAAGAGTTTCGAATAAACATTTAAGGAAAGAATATTCCACTCCACATTTTATAAAATAAATTATAACGTTATCTTTCATTTGAATTTATTCCAAAAAAATCCACGGCAAATATCAAACTATATCCAGGAGTGTTGCAAATTTCGTACATAAATATGAGAGAAAGTTTGCAAGTTTTATAATTTTTTGCTACAAGATGGAAGCTGAAAATTGCCAAAAAATATGCTTACGCAATGTTTAAATGGTCCCTAATGGAGAAGGGGAGGCAGACATTAATTTTTAATACAAAGAAATATTCACCACTTCTAAGATGCCAAACAACCAAAACATTCTAAAAACCATAAAATAATCTTAAAATTATAAATAGTGTCTTTTAAACTTCATTTTTTATTATTTTTTTTTTTAAATTGTTGTATGCATTTCTAAAAAATTAAAATGATAATTAAACCAAAAGTGTAATTTATAAATAAAATAAAATGTAAATAAATACCGGATAAAAAACAGCTCATCTATTTTTAGTTACAATCTTTACGAACATCGAAGGTGTATAGAATTATCGAATATTTCTTTTTACTATTTCTCAAATTAAAATATTATCTATTGCCCAAGAGAAACTTATTTTGCTAGTTGAAAAACGCTGTTCAACACTAGTTAAGTGAAATATAGTTGAGAAAAGATGTTTAAAATAAACAAGATTCAATGCAATATTTATAGTAATTTATAAAGAAAAA